TCTACCTGCCTGTCTGTCTATCTATCTCTGTATCTATCTGTGTGTACACCGGTGGTCAGTCATCTGCCGCTCTGTCGCCATCTGCATTCCTTAGTTCCAGTTCCTGCATGTCCACTGTGCTCTCACGTCACTTTTGCGTGTGTTGCACGTACTCAATCACCCTGTGCTTCGTACCAGGCATGTACCACTGGGGCGTGATCAAGTGCCTGTTCGAAGAGAACCTCCTGCCGCCTGTCATTTGCGGCTCGTCCATCGGCGCCCTCTTCGCTGCTGTGCTCGGTCAGAATGTGTGTCTGTGTCTCTGTGTGTGTATGTTTCTGTCTGTCTATCTAGCTGTCTATCTGCCTGTCTTGTCTATCTGGCTGTCCGTCTGTCTGTCTGTCTGTCCGTTTGCGTGCGTGCCTGCGTGTGTATGGACCAACAGATGGAGGAGAGCCCCAGTTAAGTACAACAAACTCATGTGCGCACACGCACGCACACCCCTTGTGTATGCACACACGTCTCCACAACACAACCCCATTCGCCCACACGTCCACTGCATCCTATGCCCCTTCATATAGGCATCTACAACGACTCGCAGCTCTCTGCCATGTTTGATGACCCCGAAGCCATTGATCTCTCCGCCTTTGAGCGCCTTGGTAACGTTACAATTACAATTGCACTGCGTCACCTCACATGTACACACGGCCCCATACTCACGTGATGTTGACTGTGTAGCTCGCACACGCATTTGAAGACCTCCGTTTGGTATTCACTACACTTTATTAAACATGTCTGTGTCTGTGTGTGTGTGTGTGTGTGTGTGTGTGTGTGTGTGTGTGTGTGTGTGTGTGTGTGTGTGTGTGTGTTGTGCTGTGGTTGCCTCAGGTCCCAAGGGATGGAAGCGAAAGCTCGTTCGGCTGTTTACGGACGATGTGCTGATGGACATTTCAAAGCTCGAGGAGTTTTGCCGCACCAACCTCGGCGACTACACCTTTGACGTGTGTGTCTGTGTCTGTGTCTGTGTGTCTGCCTGTGTGTCTGTCTATGCCTGTGCGTGTGTGCGTGCTTTTTTTTCCAAGGCAAACAGAGCATGCATTCGGGCCAACATTGACCAACAACATCGTGTGCTCTGTCGATGTTTATCTTGCAGGAGGCGTACAGGAAGACGGGCCGCGTCATCAACATCGTCCTGACACACACCACACACTCGGGATACCCATCGCTCCTCAACTACAGAGTGCGTTACCGCCATCTGTGTGTGTGTGTGTGTGTGTGTGTGTTTGTGTCTGTCTGTCTCTACTTGTCTCTCAGTCCGTCTGTCTCTCTACCTGTCTGTCTGTCTCTCTACCTGTCTCTCAGTCTGGCTCTCTCTCTCTCTCTCTCTCTCTCTGTCTCTCTCTCTCTCTCACTCACACACACACACACTCTCTCTGTCTCTCTCTGTCTACATGTGTCTTGTCTCTTCCCGGTGGGTACTTGTGCATCTCACCCCTTGCATCGCTTCATCCATCCTGGTCAACATCGCGCAACCCTCACACACACACACACCTTCTCCGTGTGTCTGACCACAACCAACACACTGACACACAGACGGCGCCCAACGTGCTGCTGTGGTCGGCCGCGAGCGCGTCGTGCGCCCAGCCAGGCCTCTACGCGCCCGTTCCGCTGTACGCAAAGGACGTGGGCGGTGGAATTGTCATCCTGCACGAGGAGCACGTGGCGGAATCGTGGTCCTCTCGAACCGTTCACCACCCGCAACTGCCCATGCAGCAGCTGCGTGAAAACTTTAACGTCAACCACCTCATCGTCTCCCAGGTGTGTTGCGTCGCTGGCAACAATAGCGCATGCATCGTGCAAATGCGTAAACGGTTGGCGCAATTGGCCGTTGTCAACTCGTGATTCCCCGCCCACTATGGTGCTTGCACCGATTATCTCAAAATCATCCTTGACCCAATCACGCACACGCGTTCTTCAATCCTTCACACACGCACGTACATGTAGCCCTCACACGCACACACACACACACACCAAACTACGCAAGCATCCAAACACGCATGTTCATCCATGCACACACTCACACACTCGCACACTCACACACTCACACACTCACACACTCGCTCATGTATGTGTGACGCGTACACACGCGCATACACGCGCATGCACGCACTGCGTAGGTGAACCCGCACGTGATTCCGTTCCTGCGGTCGCTGCACTCGTCGTCGCGTGTGCACATCTTGCATCAGGCAGCAGTCCTCCTCGGCGAAGAAATTGTCCACCGCGTGCGCCAAGTCGTGCAGTTTGGCTACCTGACAAAGTTGGTTGCTGGATTGTTCGTTCATGGATATGTATGATGGTTGCTGGTGTCGTGACCATCTGTTTTCCAGTTTGGCTCGCCTGTCTCTTCCACCTCCTCTTCTCTTGCACATTGATGTGGACCAACACGTGTTGTTCCTTGTTCTCTTGTTACCATTCCACCACAGCCGCAAATGCTGATGCTTTTCATAACTGGCACTATGCACGATGTACACACTCACTCACTCATACAAACTAAACACATGCACGCACACGCACGCGCACGCACACGCACGCACACACATTCTATTCCTCGCGTTTTAAATTACTCCTCCTCCTCCTCCTCCTCTCCACCACCCGCACCACAAAACACCCAACAACCCATCACCACTGCCGCAGGTCGCTGGCATGGCTGCGAGCAGACCTCCTCCAGCCCGTGGAAGGAAACATCACCATCATCCCGCGACTGACACTCACATCGCTGAAGAAGATTGTGTCCAACCCAAACCGTCACGACCTGCACTACTTCCGCGCAGAGGGGGAGCGCAGCGTGTATCCGTACTTGGCCATCATCCGCACGCGCTGCCGCATCGAAATGGCGCTCAACGACTGCCTAAAGCAAGCGCAGGAGATGGTGCACGCGGCACAGAACCTCAGCCTGCTCCACGCATCCATGGACTCGCCCACGCAGACACCGCGCTCGCGTCGCAGTCCGCTCATTGTCACGCCGCCAACGCAGGCCAACATCCCACCGCGCCGCAGGGCAGCACCACCGGAGAGCCCAACCATCCAGCGCTCGCCACACCGCCTTCGCCGCGCAAACACGGTTGGGTCTGCACAGGCGGCGCCAACCCTCGCCACCCTGTATGCAAATGGATACCTCTCTGGTGATGATGAACAAGCGGGCGGCACCGGTGCGCGTGTGCAGATTCCGGCGCTCGCTGAGCGGCTACTGCGCACGCCGTTCTCGCTCACACCGCAGGCCGCACCGCCAACGTCCCCAACAAGACACAGCCCAACCAGCACCCCGCCACTGCACACCACAGGCACCGCCAGCCAGCAACAACACGACCAACACTACCAACAATTACAGCAGCAGCGGCAACACCATCTACGTGCACCAACGACGCCACCATCGAAGCTGCTGGCTGCACCCCGCCGCAACGGTGTTGGCCCGCTGTCGGCTTCATTCAACAACGCAGCCCGACACCACTTGCTCGCCCCGCGCTCAGCGCCAGCATCCGTCAGTCAACTCGGACGCTACCGGGCCCGCAGACGAAAGATCGGTGGGAGGACGACAGGCTGCGGCGATGATTATGACGATGATGATGACGATGATGACGCAACCACAGTGCACAGCATCAGCACCCAGCTGAGTTTGGATTAGCGCACATGTGTGATGTGTGTGCATTTTGTGTTTGTGTGTGTCTGTCTGTGTGTGTGTGTCTGTCTGTGTGTGTGTCTGTGTGTCTCTGTGTCTGTCTGTGTGTGTGTCTGTGTGTCTCTGTGTCTGTGTGTGTGTGTCTGTGTGTCTCTGTGTGTGTGTGTGTCGATGGGTGCGGCTTGGGTATTCTTGCTTTGTGGGCTGTGGCGTTTTGTCGCACTCGCACATGACTTTGAGGTTTTGGATTTCGTTTTCGTTTGGGCCTCTATGCTCTGCTTGTGAGCTATGTGACGTCAAGAACGATAGCATTGGTTTGCATCGCGTCGTGAATTTGCTCATTGCTGTATGCCTGTTTTATTCGATGCCTTTGGTGCGAGACAGACACACGCATTTGAGCTACTGTGATACGAAATACATGATCCTTGCACACCTGCCTCCCTTTGCTTCTCCAAATAATGAATCGTGACAGACAAGACACAAACATCGTGTTCAAGTGGCATATCCGAGCCAGTGACACACACACGCACGCACACGCACACACACACACACGCGCACACACACGTACACGTACACGCGCAGACACACGCGCATGCACACGCACACACACACACATGTGGCGCTGTTATTTTCCGTCGACGGTGCTCTGTTGGCAGGAGTACGCCTGCGACCCGTGGTTGGTGGATGCGTGCGAGTACTTTTCATCCAGATGTGGGTCCAAGCACGTCCGCTACACGCGTGTCGAAGGAAGAAGAGGGCCAGGAAGGAAGATGCACAGGACACACGTGTGGGATGAGCAGAGTGAGGCAGACCGAGAGCATGCACCTTCAACGCACAGCATATAGCATGCAGCAGCGTTCGCAACAACACTGTAAAATCGCGGACAGACGCCAGCAACAGCATCAAACGCACCACGACGGTGAGGCGAAGTGGAGACTCAACGCCTTCGAGGGTTCGTTGCACGTCCTCTTGCTTAGCACCGCGCACATCAACCCCGTTGACAGTCAACAGGAAGCTGTCAGCAAGCAGACCACCCATCCCTGCTGGGCTGTCCGCATCCACCTGAGGTGGTGGGAAATCACACAAACCAGACATTTACGACGGTCACGGGGCAAATCGTTGAGTGTGTATGTGTGTGTGTTTGTGTGTTTGTGTGTTTGTGTGTCTGTGTGTTTGTGTGTCTGTGTGTGCGCATATGTGTGTCTGTGTGTTTGTGTCTGTCTGAGGGAACGAGAATGCCCTTCCTACAAGTACACACCCACAGCTGGCATGTCACTTACAGTATCGATGCACGTTGGGTGTTGGCCGATGAGTGTGAATCCGAGCGAGTCATCATCCTTCTTGGCGACAGTGAGAGTCCTGCGCGGTTGGAGCAGTGATGTCAGAACAGCGGGTGAGACGAGTGCAGGTAATGTAACAACAAAACCGTGTTTGATTTGAACACATATGTCTGTCTGTGTGTGTGTGTGTCTGCAAGCGTTCGTTGTTCGCTCGTGGTCACGAACACACAGACACACACAGACACACACAGACACACAAATTTTCATGAATATTCTCCCACGCGTACACGTTCACAATCACATTCACAAACATGCGCACAGAACCAGCAGGGCGCGTGCACTCTGCTCAACAGCGTGGAACGCACTCTCGATAGCGAATTGGCTGCTGCGCATTGAAAAACTGAAGAGGGCCGAGCTGCTGAAACAAATCCTGCGGGCGACATGTCTCCAACAGCTTCCGGCTCGCCTCTGCCCAGTGTGACGTCAACGGCTGTATGTCTGTCAGCGAATCTGTGTTTGCACACGCGCGCAGCAAGGTAACACATGTGAGACATGGTGAACGCAACGGTAGCTGGCGTCCCATGCGATGTGGGTTTGTGAAAGTGGCAGCGTGCATAGGGTCTACATGCTTCACAACATTGAAAGTATGTGACTGTCTGAGTCTGTATGTGTGAGTCTGTGTGAGTCTGTATCTGTGTCTGTATCTGTGTAACATATTGTGTGGATTGTCGATCACGATTGCGGGTCAAAGACGACAGCGTCTCAACACATGCGAGCGCACCGAGGCTGTCTGATGAGCTGACGTCACTGGAACGTTCCACAAGCATTGTATCCTCGATATCGCCCTGGATTGTCCGCCGCTGTTGCCCGATCATGTCCACAAAGCCAGCGAGCTGCGCGTACTTGTTGTCGCTGGTTGGAATTCGAGCATGAGGTCAAGTACAGATGGACCGTGGTGTATGCGTGCGCGAGTGCGTGTGTGCGTGCGTGAGTGTTGGAGAGGGAATTGGTGGTGAACACATTAGAGGCGCAGCACACGTGGATACAGAGTGCACATGACGTCAACCAGCCATGAGCAGGAACGTGTACACGCACGCCCACAACCACACACACACATACTCATAATCACATTTCCAAGCACGAGCGCAGAAACTCACGTCATGCAAATGTCTTCTGCCTCTTGCAAGAGTGCGAGTGCACGCTCAAGCCGCCGCGTGTCGTGGGCTGCGAGCACAAGCACACACGCCACATACCACACATCACAAACACAAAAAAGGAGACAACGGAGTGCAACTGCCGGTGAGGTCTCGCAAAGTGAACTCATCATCGTCGTCAGCATCATGATCGCTACTAGCAACAACTACAACAACAACAACAACAACAACAACAACAACAACAACAACAACAACAACAACAACAACAACAACAACAACAACAACTTAAACAACTTAAACAACAACAACAACAACAACAACTTAAACAACAACAACAACAACTTAAACAACTTAAACAACAACAACAACAGCTTAAACAACAGCTTAAACAACAGCTTAAACAACAACTTAAACAACAACTTAAACAACAACAACATCATCAGCAGCAGCATACCAGGTGCTGATGCGTCCAAAACAGCCTGTGCCCGCCGCCTTGCTTCCAACCACGCATGATACTCTGTCGTGTTGAACAGTTCGTCATCATTACAAAAACCACACACACACACACGCATGCGCATGGTGAGTTGTGGGCAGAGGTTGTGTGTGTGGTGTTTGGCAGTCATCCCTTTGGGGATGCAACAGATACACCAACACACCTAAACACAAACCCACGCAGGCACACATGCATACAATGGATGTGTGCCATCATTCGAACTCTCACCCGCAATGGCGTTGAAGAAGGAGACTTTCGCCTTTGCGATGGTGAGCCACTCTGTTGGGTACCATGCTGTCACCACCACAACAGCACAACAACAGGTGGTGAGTCAGAACACTCCTTTGCGAGCACGTAGCGTGTGCAGGCAGGCAGCACGCAAGTCACCCAACAGCATACACGGATGTACGCATCTCAATCGCACACGTGTACTGTGTACACCCACACCCACACATACACACGCACATGCAAGCGTGTGCACGAATAACAAACACTGCAGGCACCGTTGTGCATCTGTATGTGGTGTGCTCTTGCTAAACCATACCGGGATGCTGTGCGGAGGAGATGAGATCGACAAGTTCGCTGTACGTCAGCGCAACACACGCCGCCTCCTCACTGAGAATGTGGTTGTGGGACGACCTGCGTATGACCCGTCACAGTTGCATGCACCAATCGTGAGCAAACGTGTGTCACCCAAGACGCACACACGCACACGCACACACACACGCACACACACACACACACACACACAACGCATCTGTATGCAATGTGCCAGCGCATGACGCAAGATGATCGACAGTGCCAAGCGAATGTCATGGCTGACAGTTCAAAGATTAGAGCACACACACAAACACACATATACATACACACATCCACACACATACACACACATCCACACACAAACACACATCCACGACTCACGCATCCGGCTGTTGCATGCAGCGCCAGAGCGACTCCTGCGCCTGAGCAAGTTGGATATCACGCAAAATGCGCACGGTCTGCTTCAGCTCCCCAACACTAAAAACGTATGAGTGAGTGTGTGAGTGTGCGAGTAACGAGACAGCGCTACGTAGGGCGAGCACGCAAGAACCATCTTCGGTAGATGGACAACCGCAGCGCACAGTGCAATCTCAACTTCAAACGCACCATACACGCACGCACGCACATACACACATACGTACAAGCACATACACACATACGCACACGCACATACACACATTTCAAACACACAGCATGCACACACATCCGAACACACAAACACCGCACTTTGTCGAGTCCTCTGTGCACTCCTCGTCGAGTGCAAGTCCGCAATCGAGAATAAATGTGAGCAGGCCTGCCGCTTGCTCGTATAGGCGACACGCGCGCTTCACCCCAGACGCTGCAGGACCGCAATACACACGCACGTGTGTATGTGTGTGTGTGTGTGTGTGTGTGTGTGTGTGTGTGGTGTGTGTGTGTGTGTGTGCGTGCGTGTGTGTGTGCGTGTGTGTGTGTGTGTGTGTGTGTGTGTGTGTGTGTGTGTGTGTGTGTGTGTGTGTGTGTGTGTGTGGAAAGATGGCAAGGGGGGACAGAGGAGATGGAGTCATGGATGAGCTCACGATGCCCAAGTAGGCGGTTGCGTAGCATGCAGGCATTTCCGCTCAGCGAACAAAGCAGGCAAGACAAGGCACGCGCAAGTCAAAGTTGGCGCCCGCACTTGCAAATCCAGCCCTCGTACCGTTTTGGTTTTCGTAGAACGCGGCAACTTGCGTGCAGACGGCAGCCGCATTGTAGAGCGCAGTGAACTTCTCTGCAGATATGTGGTGTGTAACCACCTCCGCACCAGATAGGGGGTCAAACCTGCAAGGGATACAGGAGGGAGTAATGGAAGGAGTGAGGTGAGTGGTGGTCGTGGGTGGTGGTCGTGGGTGGTGGTCGTGAGTGGTGGTCGTGGGGTGATCAGCAACGAGAGTACTCCCGACGAATCGCTGATGGTCACAGTGATGAACAGAAGCTCACATGCACACACACACACACATGTACAAGTTCACACGCAAGATACACACATGCACAAGTACACATATGTACAAGTGCACACACGCATGCACACAATCCCCTCTGCCCCGCCCCCTTTGTCATCCCCTTGCCCTCATTGTGTTTGTTGTCAACACACCAGGCAAAGGACACGCCGTGCATGTGTCCCTGACGGAAGAAGCGGCGCTCAATCTGGCAGAGGTGGTGGTAGTACGCAATGCACTGCGTGATTCTGTTCTCGCGCACGGAGAAGCACGCTGCCTTTGTGTATGCTGTCTTGAGCTCGTCAAAGACGGCGCTGAAGCGAGCCGGGTTTTCGCGGTAGTGCTCCTGAAGCTCTCGACTCAATTGCGACTGGTTGTGGGTGGTGCAGGTACGATGGTAACGATGGTGATGATGGTGAAATGCAAGTCGCGTTAGATGTGGCTGTAAACCTTACACAAGTCGTGCTTCACACGCACACACAAACACAAACACACATCACATCACATCACACCACATCACATACATGACATCACACACACACGCTCAAACACACACAAACACAAACAAACAAACACACACACACACAAACAAACAAACAAACAAACAAACATCACATGCGTAAGTGTTTGCTGTGCACCTTCCAGTCGACGCTGCGGGCCTTTGTTCTCCAGGGAAGAGCAACCATTGGAAGCGTGAGCTCAACGGTGCCGGCGCGCTGGCGACACTTCCAGCGCTTGGATGGTGTGAGCAGCTGCTCCGGTCTGCGGATGCTGTCGGTGTGGTTCAGCTGCGTCTTGAGGCTGCGGGTCACCAGTCGACAATGTGGAAGAAGGTGAGGCGGGGAGAAGACGAGCGTTGGGTGGTGAGATGATGGAGGACCGAACGTAGTACGAGGTCGCTCACACGGGAACATGAGCATACGTTCACGTGGCGCACACCACACAATCCCTCACACACACACACACACACACACACACACACACACACAATCTCAACACTGCACGCACGCACACGCCGAAGACCTACACGCACACACACACACACACACACACACATGCACACACACACACTCGCTCTCTCCATCTCCCCCACTCCATCTATCCATCTGCACACACCCTTCGTAGACTGCGCGATGGATGGCGCCGTTAAGTCGGGTGAGCTTGAGGCGGAGCGTCTGCAGTGTTGACTCCGCAAACGTCTTGGTGACCGCGACATGCTTTTGGCGCACAGGGTCCTTTGTGGCCCTGCCATTACAATGTCATACAAACACAGACGCCAAGTGAGGAACATGACGCGGGACAAGGGAGATGCGTGCGTTTCAACTCGCGGGTGTGAGTGATTCTTTGTGCTCTCGCCCTCTTTCACCTCCCTTCAATATCCAACCAACCACAAAACACATCACATCACATCACATCACACGCTACATCACATGACCATCACCACCATCACGCAACACACCCTAACCCTAAGACCACACCATACTTCCGCATACAGCGGTAGTGACGTACTTGATGAGGTTGGCGCAGCCGTCGCACATGCGCTGGTTGCGCGTAATGTCTTTGGCGAGGCCGTGGATGTGTTTGTGCACCTCATACAACAACTCTGTCCATGGAGGGTGTTTTGAGTGGGAGGTGGCCATGGTGCTGGTGGAAGCCGGCGCGAGCGACTGGTTGCTGGACTCTGCTACGCTTTGTGAAGACATGCTGCCCTGCAGAGCCGGCAGCAAACGTTCAAGGCGCGCAAGGTGTGTGCAGGTATCGTTTGGTCAGACAAACAGGGAAGCGAGGGTGTGCTTTGTGCGGTTGGTGTGCTTTGTGCGGCTGGTGTGCTCTGTGCGGTTGGTGTGCTTTGTGCGGCTGGTGTGCTTGGCGGTCGCTGACACTGAGCGTGGTGGTGGGTGTGTGCAAATGAAAGAAAATGGGCATTGCCAAACCAAACAAAGCCAACCACAGCAAAGCAAACGCAAGCGAGCCACGCGAGCTCACCACGACCAACACATGAACCCGCTGCCAGTCTTTGCCGCTGTTGTTCCCACCCCCTGACATCACACGCATTTGCCTTGACCTCACCTTTGTTGCTGTTGATAAGTGTTGCTGGCTGGGTCGGTGGTGTTGCTGTGTGCAAGTGCTCGTGCGAATTGCACGTCTGCAAACCCCTGCCCCTGCTGTTTTCGTGAACGCGGTTGCTGTTCACACTGGTTGATATGCGTGTATGCTTGCTTGCTTCGCTTGCTTTGCTTGATGGGGTTGTAGTTGTGCTGACGTTTCTTTGATGCTTGCAGATGAAACTCTGCTTGCTTTTGAGCTGTGGTTTCAGGGCTGTTGACGATGTTTTGTGATGTGACTGAGTTCACAACCAGACAACCACCGCGCTGTTGTGTGTGTGTATGTGTGTGCTTGTGTGTGCTTGTGTGTGCTTGTGTTTGCGATGTAGGCTGGCGCTGCGTGAGGAAGCGTGGGAGGCAGGTCACACCTCGGTCTTTCCAAGTGTGTGGAATCACGCCCTCACCAAGGAAAGCCGCTGTGTGCACAGGCATCCACCATGCCAACCCCTCGGTTGTTGTGCCACTGTGGAATGGCTGGTATGCGCCTCATGCCAAACATCGTCCACCACAACCCGCAACTCAAGCCCTTCGCGGCTTCTTTGAGACCTGACGACCACAAAAAAAAAAAGCGTGGTCCTTCCAATACAACAACTGAAATCAGTCCAAATCAGATGGGACTGATTTCAGTCTGTATGTGACAGCATACTGATATCAGTGTATGTGAAAGGATACTGATGTCAGTCTTGGTCGCGGCGCCAATCACGCAAACACGCACAAGCAAGCAAGTGAAGACAGCAAACAAGCAAACAAGAAGCACAGCCATGGAGCGGTTTGTGGTGCGGGTAAAGGCTGTGCCAAGGCCCAGGAAGAAGAGGGAGAAGAAGCGGCTTCGTCAAGTCACCATCAACTCCCTCAAGGTATGCGTGTGTGTGTGAGTCTGTGTGTGTCTGTGTCTGTGTCTGTGTCTGTGTCTGTGTGTGTGTGTGTGTGTGTGTCTGTGTGTGTCTGTGTCTGTGTCTGTGTCTGTGTGTGTCTGTGTGTGTCTGTGTGGGTGTGGGTGCGATTTTACTTGCAATGGTGCAAACATGTGTGCAAGCGTGTGTGTGTGTGTGTGTGTCAGTTCTGATACATGCGCCTCATCGCTTGTAAACACACACGATACGGCAGGAGGTTGAGAAACTGAGGAAAGATGCCAAAGAGCAAGAGGCCAATGGCGAAGAGCGCCCGCAACGAAGGCCGCCAAAGAAGAACGACAAACAAGACAAGAAGCTCCTCCGACAAGCCACCATCGGCGCCATGAAGGTATGAACAAGCACAAAAAGGAAGAACGAGGAGAAGAAGCAGCAGTGCAAGCGATGGTACAGGGCTCCTTTTGCGCTCTTTTTGCGCTCCTTCGTGCTTTGGCGTTCCTTTTGCTCATGATCGTCACGTGTGTCCGCCTGTGTGACCGTGTGTAGAAAGTCGTGCCGGTGAAGGAAGTGAATGAGCTGTCGCAGCGCATGCGTGAGCACATGCACGATCCGGACACACTGCTGGAGTGCCTGAACCGCCTGACAGAGAAGATCTTCGAGCCCAGCGTGCTGCTCAAACTGGACGTTGGTCGTGTTGTGCGCCGCCTCACCAAACACCAGAACCCCAAAGTCGCACAAGCAGCCAAGGTTGTCTGTGTGTGTGTGTGTGTGTGTGTGTGTGTGTGCGTGTCTGCGTCTGTAAGTGTTGTGAGGATAATTGCTGGGATCTCACGTGCACGTACACGCGCCCACGTCTCTCAGGCGCTCAAGACCGAATGGACGGCGCGGATTCAAGCGCCACCAAAGCCGTTATTGGAAGTGAAGGCGGGCGGCAAGGATGAAACGGTCAGCCACACGTGTGTGTGTGTGTGTCTGTGTGTGTGTGTGTGTGTGTCTGTGTCTGTGTGGCTGTATGTGTCTGTGTGTGTCTGTGTCTGTGTCTGTCTGTGTCTGTGCTTGTGGCTGTGTATGTGGCTTGTTGTCTTGTTATCTCACCTTGATCACATCCTCACCAACACCCACACTCACATCTACATCCATGTCCATATCCATACCTGCGCAGGTGCGTCGTGGGTTTCGCCAGATGATTGCAAAGCCGTTACGAGGACACGCAGAACATACGCAGGACGGTGCGTTGTCCTTTTGATATTGTGTTCCTTGCCATGTTTCTCCGTTTCTGCTTCGTTTAACAACATGTGCCTGCACCTGTGCTGCTGTGAACGTGCTGTGTGTGGCCATTTTTGCGTGTGCTGCTCCGTTGGCCTCACACCCCACCCTCACCACCACCACCAAATGCCACCACCATCACCACCACCAAATGTTCCCTCTTCTCGCCCCCACAGCGACAGCTGGCGAGGGGGGTGGCACGGACCTGTGCGATGAGCGCGCGAAGCAGCTGGAGGTGCACGTCTTCCGCTCGAAACACGAGGACCGCCCGTCTGCCGGGTACAAACGCACGTGCCGTCAGCTCTCGCGCATGCTCACATACAACGCAGACATCGCCCACCAGGTGTGTATTATGTTGCCTTTGAGGTTGCATCTCTAGTTCTTGTTGTTGTTGTTGTTGTTGTTGTTGTTGTTGTTGTTGTTGTTGTTGTTGTTGTTGTTGTGGTGGTGCTGCTGCTGCTGCTGCTGCTGCTGCTGCTGCTGCTGCTGGTGTCTTCTTCTTCTTCTTCTTCTTCTTCTTCTTCTTCTTCTTCTTCTTCTTCTTCTTCTTCTTCTTCTTCTTCTTCTTCTTCTTCTTCTTCTTCTTCTTCTTCTTCTTCTTCTTCTTCTTCTTCTTCTTCTTCTTCTTCTTCTTCTTCTTCTTCTTCTTCTTCTTCTTCTTCTTCTTCTTCTTCTTCTTCTTCTTCTTCTTCTTCTTCTTCTTCTTCTTGTGTGTGCCGTTCGGCACCTTACCCCGTGCTCACGTGTCCACGGCCAATTGTCCTTGTCAAGGTCCTCGATGGTTCACTGCTGCCGTCAACTGTCGTCGCCGTCGCCGTGCAGTGGTCTGTCAGCGGCAAGGTGGAGCTCCCTCAGACATGATGATGATGATGATGATGATGATGATGATGATGATGATGATGATGATGATGATGATGATGATGATGATGATGATGATGATGATGACGATGATGATGATGATGACGATGATGATGCATTGCTGTGGTTTCAGCGGTGTTTGATGAATAATGGTATTCGAGGGGTGCTGGTTCGGCATGACACACTCTTCGTTACTGCTGTAAACAACCGTTTTATAACTGAATGCTGGGTCTATTGCACATTGTGCTGTATTTGACGACGCCCTTTGGCAGTGTCCGCGTGCTCCTGTCTGTGTGCCTCGTCGCTTTGTTTACATCACACTCGGCACGCGTGCCTTGTCTGTACACACTTCCCCCTCTTTGCACCGTCGCTGTTTCCTTCTGTGCAATGTGTTCCGCTATGTATGCACTTGCCAGCTCATAGAAACAAACAGAACAGTCACGCGCGAAGACGCACGCAAACGATCACGTCAGTGCTCCCGCCACACACCACAACCAATCCAACCAACAACATCAACAAACAAACACAGGATCAACTTCAGACAGCACCATCAAACATGCGGATGTGCGTGCATGCGTGCGTGCGTGCGTGCTTGCGGGCAATCAACAACCCAAACGAGGCACTTTGCAGCAAGCATCAAACGCAGAGCAGTAACATGAGTAGAAAGCAAGCCAGCAGGCTAAGCGCACGCAACCCTCAAACACGAAACCACATCAACGCATGTGACTGCGTGCACACATCAGCGTGTGCGCTTGTTCACTCTGCCATCTTCTGCTTGTAATATGCCTTGAACTCCTCCAGCGAAATGCTGCCGTTCCCATCCGCTATCACAATGTGTGCAGGTGTGGACGTGAGTGTGTCTGAGTGTGTGTGTCTGTGTGTGCCTTTCTGTCTGTCTATCTGTCTGTCTGTGTGCGTGTGTGTGTATGTGTGTGTGTGTGTCTGTCTGTCTGTCTGTCTGTGTGCGTGTGTGTATCTGTGTGTATCTGTGTCTGTGTGTGTCGGTGTGCGTGATTCATATCTGTTGGCACGTTGAGTGTTGTTCAACGTGTTGCGCATATTGTTGGAACGTACTGTCCATCGCTTTGAACGTCTCCACGTCGATTCCCTGTCATGCAATCGCAACCGAAACAGACGATCATGGTCATGAGGGTGACAGATGCGAAGCACTTGAAAACACACACACACGCGCACACACACACGCACGCACACACACACACACACACACACGCACGCGCGCGCGCACACACACACACGCACACACACACA